TGCTGAAGGCAGGCCAGGTGACCAGATGTCCCTAAGGACGGGGCGATGAGGAGCCCTGGCGAAACCGACTTGGCGGGGTTCTTGCTAAAACTGGACACTGAGGAGACAGACACGCAAGTCCTAAAGCTGAGGTGTCATTGAAAAGTTCAAGGGTAGAATCTGGTCGAGGACAGACTCCTTCGTTAAATGGTTACTTTCTGGAAGGCACCGATCATGACTTATTTAAAGCGGCACCAAACGTGGCCCGATTCAATGTTTTGCACGTAGTTTTTTTCCCCTCACTAAATATGTGTTGAAGGGTTAAAAAAAACAGAACAAGATCAGCCAAGTAATAGTGTCTAGTAACAAAGGAGTACTCTCTTGGGAGTACCTTGAGCCTTCATTGCTCTTGGAATTGGTATTAATCTGTATGCCAACAAATAATATGTTTTCTCCTTTACTTTTATGTGCCGTGTATGGCTACTTAATAAAATACATGTCTTTTTACCCATCTCTACACACACTGTATATACATTGATACATATGTAGTACATATATGTAGTAGATATATATATACACATATATATATAGTATGTATGTGTGCGTTATTCTTTGTCTTTCTTGTTAATTTTCATCTCTAGCCTAGTACATATATGATAGCTACAAAAGAAGTATCCACAATATTTGTAAAATAACTTAAAGCGCTGATGGAGGCTCCGTGACAAAGGGGCAGTGGGTATGGACCACTAGCTCCCAGTGCCCAGAACAGTACCTAGCATACAGTAGAAGCACAATAAATATCCTCGTTAAAATAAAGATGTTCGGGAATAGAATGCTTTTCAAAATGATCTTCCCTTCTGTGACTTTCTGTTTTTATTTTGTTTTATATTTTCCAGTGGAAAATGACCCACACTTCATCATCTACCTACCAAAAAGCCAAAAGAATATTTGTTTCAATATTGACTCAGAACCTGGAAAGATCCTCAACCTTGTTTCTGATCCAGAATCAGGTGAAATAAAAAGATATTGTATACGAATTAGACAGTTAGATCATTGCCACGCTTCACTGTCACTGCCTAGAATTTCTTTCTTTCCACCTTAACGGAAGTCCTATATTTTCCAAACTTTGGTAATTAGTGAGAAATAAATTTTAAATATATTCCTAAGAGTTTGAACTATTACAGTTAAACTGTAATAAAGCATAGTTATAAAGCGAGAATTACAAAGGAAAAAGTATAAAATCCTAAAACAAATTAATTTCTCCATGTCATCAAGTTCTATAAATTTGAATTATGGTGCCCACACATGAAAAAAAATGACACACATGAGAGAAAAGAAACTTTTTTTTTTTCTGTAGGGATTTTGGTCAACGGACAGCTCGTCGGTGCCAAGAGGTCCAAGAATAAAAAACTAAGCACGTATTTTGGAAAGCTAGCATTTTATTTCCAAAGCGAAGACATGAAAATAGAAATCAACACCGAGAACATCACCCTGAGCAGGGGCTCTCGTTCGTCCACCTTGTCATGGTCTGACACAGCTTGGGTCACCAAACCGAGGCAAGTGCCATCACGTCTGAATTCAGGCCTGTCCTCGACACATCACATTAATAAATCCAGACATCCATGACAGAAACATGGAACCTGAAAATCATCATTGTAAATATGAAGAGTTGAGGTTCAGGAGAATTTTTGTTACCCACGCCCCCGTTCCTGGCGGTGGGGTCCATGTATTTTGGTCACCGGGCATCCCAGTGCTAAGCTGGTGTCCGGCACATAGTAGGTGCTCAATGAATACGTGTTGGGTAAGTGAATGAGTCTGTCAAGTGAAATCCACAGCCGACTCAGAAACATCGACTGTGTCTCGAGTAATCTCTGCCCATTAGTATCTGTTCATCAATTAAACCAACGTGCACATCGACAGAATTGCAGAGCTGGGCATTCAAACGGCATTCTGTGGCGAAGACACGTTAAAGGGCTCAGAAAACTAGGGGTCACTATGCCAGGAGGAACGGAGAGTTCACGTTCAGGGCGAGTCTGTTCTGTAATCGTGAACTCCATTTCCTTTCCCACTAGGGTGCTTGTCTCGGTGAAGAAAGAGAAGACTGTGACGATCACTCTGGATAAGGACATGTCCTTCTCTGTGTTACTGCATCGCGTTTGGAAGAAGCACCCAATCAACGTGGACTTTTTGGGGATCTACATTCCCTCCACAAACAAGTTCTCGCCCAGCGCTCACGGACTCATAGGTAAAGTGTCGGCCGACCGTTGACCTTTGACGACGTGGGTTAGAACTTGGGAAAGTGACGGGTGTGGACCCGAAAGCACAGGATTCACGCTCTGAGCCTGGGTCTTAATTGATGAAGGTGACTGGGTGACAACACAAAGGGATCGATGCCATTGGAAGAAGCGTTAACCGTTCCCTTAGAAACAAGAGGCCTGGCCGGCCATGCACAGCCACATGAGGCCGGCTTGGGGGCAGGAAGCAGGAGCAGGAGCAAGCGATGGGTTCAGGCCACAGCCTTTCGAGGGGTGTCCGTGGCAAGAGACAGAGCAGGGTGGTTGCAGCGGGGCTGGCTGAGTGATCTCCATGGGCTCTGGGCTCTGGAGTGGTCTCCAGCTGTCTGGCACCTGGCCTTGGAATGATTTCTCCTGGGTAGTACCGGCTGGGTAAAGGAGGTCTGGCTCTGGGTCGGTTAGTTGCATATCAAGGGGTGCTCCTAGCGGAGTCCTCTGCTAGCTCGAAGAATTGGGAGCCCCAGTCTCCCCAGCCAGAGAGGGTTTTTAAGATGTCAAAACATCATAATATGCAGAAGATAAAAACCCTGAT